TTATTATTATTATTATTATTATTATTATTATTATTATTATTATTATTATTATTATTATTATTATTATTATTATTATTTTATTATTATTATTATTATTATTATTATTATTATTATTATTATTATTATTATTATTAATTATTATTATTATTAATTATTATTATTATTAATTATTATTATTATTAATTATTATTAATTATTGTTATTATTATTATTACTCTCCGTTATTCCATCAAATATTCAAGAATATTCCAAAGTGTTTTATAGATAAATATACGAAAAACTCCATCTCAAATATCTAATTTTAAGTGATGAAAAATGATTCTTTTAAAATGTGGAAATAATATGTAAGGATGAATAAGGAGACATAGATTTCTTTGTTATTTTTTCTTTTTTCAAATTGAAAAAGGGAAATAAAGGATAAAAGTAAGGCCATTTCAAAATTTAGAATTTCATATACTCAATTTAAATTATGAAAAAAACGGAACATTTTAGGGTCACTATTCTAAAACAAATTGCTTCCTTCATCTAACATTGCACGGTAAAGTCTATCAAAAAGCACATATTTTCAATGATTTTCTGATATTGTCAAATTTTTACAAAAAATTTTAATTTCCTTAGCCAATGAAAGAAATAATAAATTTGTATCATGTATCATTATCGTCTCAAATATGCCGTGAATTTAACAAGGAATTCTTAATTAGTGAGGACTAGCAGGGATCATTTTGCGCACCGTTTTTACGGAATGCTCTTATGTTCAGTTGTAATTGATGCTTTCTGAGGCAAATTCTCTGATTTAACTTAATCATTTTATTTTCCTGTTTTTTGACTCCTGTTTTTTGAATTCTTTCTCCTTTCTTCGCTCATTTTCAACCATTGCTAAAATAACAAATATTGAAATCGGGATTTGAATTTGAAACTGGATTGAAACATTTTACGTCAATTTTGGTGAAAGTGGAAATTTTTTAATAATTAGCTCTCATAGATATGTTTATATTGCAATATCGGAAAGTTTTGTTGTAATTCAGAATATCATTTTACGATTGAAAATTCGCCTCATGATGTTTATCGATAATTTTTCGATCAATAAAATTTCTTTCAAAAGAAAGAAAATGTTTTTAATTATGGTAGATTTTCCAAAAATCATTTTTGAATGAATCGGCAAACATACAGAATAATCACTGATAAGTGCTATCATAATTTTTAATTTTAATTAATAAATCAGTGATATCCATTAAGTATTTAAATACATATATTCGCTTGATACCGTTTGTTTTTCCTTATTTATTGTTGGCTTTTTTTAAAACTTATCCATTAAATAACAATAACTGGGACATATTATATTGTAACCAAACAAATCATTAACAGATAATGATTTAATTTGGCTGCTTATTAAAATTATTTGTTGATCACAAACAATTTGAAAAACCAAAACCTTTTGAAACACTAACCTGCAACTTGACACTCCTAATTTTCTTTTCTTTTTAACCGCATATACTTTTTTTTATCGTTCATTTCATTTGTTTTTTATTTTTATTCTAAATTATTTTTATAAGTATATTTTAAACTGAAAAATAATTTTCTCTAGAACTGTTCTTCAATGCAAAAATTCCTTCACTTCCTTTTTATTTTCTCCTTTCGATTTCTTAAAATACAATTCTCTTATATCAGCAAAGTTATTATGCATTGAAAGAATTCAATTTTTTTTCCTATTTCCAGTTTCAAAATTGTCGACTTTAATACCGAAACAAATTTATATTGATTTCTCTCTTTCCTCTCCTCCCCATCCAACTTTTTCTTTTGCAATTATCAAAATTAAAATAAGGCCAAACTCCTTAACAACTTTAACCACCTTTTCCATCTTTTATTTTTCTTTAAACTTTACATGTGTCACTTAACTTTCCAATTAAATCTAGTTGAAATGTTTTTTTTTAAGAAAGGAGCATTATATTATTAGAATTGATACCATTTGGCAACCTATTGGTACAATTTTGATTACTTTTGTAAATTTTCATTTTATCGTTAAAATTATGAAAAACTGTAATATACAGAAATAATAGCAGTAAAGACTTTTATATTTCCATTATTTTATGCAAATTATATATACACATGGAGCTATTACATCTTCATATAAAATTTCTGCTATAATTTTAATGTCTCATTTTACTTATTCTAAATTATTGCTACTTTAATTAATTGATTAACAATATGTCCTTATTTCTTGCATGAAGCATTGGGAATTTTTTTAGAAATAATAATAATATTATTAATGGTAACAGTAATAACAATAACAGTAGTAGTGATGATAATAATAGTGGTAATAGTAGTAATTATGATTCTAATAATCATAATCATAATCGTAACAATAACAATAATAATAGAAAAACACAATAATAATAGGTAGTTGTAATAGCAATCATAGTGGTGATAATAATAGTAATAAAGATAACAATAGTAATAAGCATGTATTTTCAACTAGCAAAAGTATTTATTTATAACAAAACCATTTCCCTGTAATGTGATTGTATTTAAAACTCAATTTGCTTATTTGTTATTACTATATTTGCTGCAAATACGGAGGAAGCAGGAGGGAGAAAGGGAATTCAATTCAGTTTGATGGTTATATGACTTGTTTGTTATGATATGATTAAAATTTTAAGGAATTTTATAGTTGTTTTCACTTATTTAGTAAAATATTAATCATTTTGGTAGGGTAGAAAAACAAAAAAAAATTAAGGAAATGTTTAGTCAAAGATTAGAAAGTAGTCGAAAATATTCGTTTATATTTTAAAATTTTTATTTGGAGCTGTTATTGTTATTCTAATTACTACTTTTTAATTACCTTGTTAATTATATATCATTATTATTAATTTATTATTCATTGATTATTTATTATTACCATTATTTATTATTACTATTATTTATTATCATTATCATCATTAATTATTTATTGTCATTGATTGTTTATTATTATTAATTATTTATTGTTGTTAATTATTTATTACTATTAATTATTTATCATTATTAATTATTTATTGTTATTATTTATTATTATTAATTATTTATCATTATTAATTATTTATTATTGTTGATTATTTATTGTTACTAATCATTTATTATTATCAATTATTTATTATTGCCAGTTGCTTATTATTATTAATTCCTCGTTATTATCAATTGTTTATTATTTATTATTACTAACTATTGTTATTGTTACTTATTGTTGATTATTATTACTATTAATATTTATTATTGCCACTGATTATTGCTATTATTAATAGTAATAATAATAATTATTATTAATAGTAGTAATAGTTTATTATAACCGCTGATTATTAACTATTATTAATAATAATAGTAATAATAATTATTGTTATTATATTAATAATAGTAATAGTAGTAGTAGCAGTTAGTTGAAAGTAGCTTTTTCTTAAGTTTTTTTTTTTTGTAAGTTAAAAAATATTTGCAATTTTGCTACTCTTGCATATATGTAATGCATAAAATATTTTTATATTGCTGTGCTTCTGTAGAATTTAAGCTTAATTAATTTAGTAACAAAATTTTAAAAAATTTCAAAATTTTAGGATGAATCTTTATACTCGGCACATCTGTATTATTTATGCATATGTGCAGTATAATTAGTTATGTAAAAATTTTTTTATGAAATTTTCAATAAATTTAAAACATTTTCAGAGAAGAAGAAAAAGACAGTAATCGTTGTGCACATGGTTGGCCAAAAGAATGCTGATGGCGAACAATCGAATTGATGATAAGAGAAAAAAACGATAAATGAAAAAACAATTTTTTTTTCTCATCATCATAATATTTTTTTAATCACTGTAAAGAAAAGAAAATTTTGATCTTTAAATTAGTTATTCTATAGTGAGCATTATGAAAAGGAACAAAGGAACAAAGAGGAAATAAAATTGTAATTCAAACTCGAATTTGAATTTGGAATTAAAATTGAAGCTACACGTTTTGTGTAGCTTTAAATTATGTTGTTTGTTTTTTCTTTTCATCTTTCTTTCCTAGGATGATTATTTATCGGATTTTTTTGACTCTTTTTATTCGAAATATCTCTTTTTGTCCTTTCTTTCCTCTCTGTTATTCCCCTAATTAATTAGTTTACTAGACTACTACCAGCTATCGCTTATTAAATATATTCTTAAGTAAGCATATAAGAGTTAAGTTTTAAACGTTTCGTTTTACTTTATTTTTCTCTAGTTTATAGAGTATTATCCCCATTACTTGACAACTTTTTTTTTTCCTAATTATGTTCTTTGTGTTTTTCGTTACTTCTAAAATGTTCTCATCCTTTTCCATCTCTACTTTTTTCCGGATTAATTGATCGGTTCCTCTTTTTTTTTTGGGTACTATCAATTACTATCACATGTGATTAGTTGCTAATAAAATTTTATTTGTTGTTAAATTCAAACATAACAATCTGATAAGCATTGAAGCAAGCATTCTTTTGACAAGTTTTCGTCTTCTTTTTTTCATCCGATAATCTTCCATATCAATCTATTCCGTTTAAATTCTACAACTGTTAAAGAAATTGTTTTTAAAAGAAAAAGGGAAATTGTTTTTGTTTTTACTTTCAAAAATACTGCGATTCTTCTAATCTCATTTTGTTATGAAATTTAACTGAACCTATGGTTTGACATTTAAGTTTACAATTTTCGAAAGTTCTTTTTTTTCACAAAACAATTCTGAAATTTTCACATTTTAAACATAATTAGAGAAAATTTTGCAATTACAAATATTGTTTTCGAAAATAATAAATTACGATTCCTCTCTAAATTAAATTCTATTTTAAATTAGTTTACAATTTTCGGAAGTTCTTTTTTTTTTCACAAAACAATTTTGAAATTTTCACATTTTAAGCATAATTAGAGAAAATTTTGCAATTACAAATATTGTTTTCGAAAATAATAAATTACGGTTCCTCTCTAAATTAAATTCTATTTCAAATTCGCAATTTAAGTCCAAATTTCATTCGGATCAAAAATTAATGGTGTGAGAAATATTTGAAATTTAAAATTTCAAAATAAAGCACTTAGCATGTACAAACATGAAGGAATAAAGTTTGAATGAACGATCAAGAAAGTAATATATTATCAATTCAAACAATTAATAATAATAATAAGGAAAATAAATATGAAATAATGAAATAAAATTTAGAGACTTCGATCTCGACAATGATCCATATAATAGGTGGCATGCTCACGTGGTGGTTGATAATGAATATCATATCCAGCATTGGTACTCCTATCAACGGTTGATAAACGTTCTTGACGATTTCTTGTAAAAGCGGTAATAGCCACAGCAATAGCACAAAGAATTAATGAAAGACTAATTACCATTAATAAAATTCTAAAAAAAAGAAAAAAAAATTAGGAATTATTTCATTTTTCATACAATTAAGCAATTATTAATTGCATACATAAATAACACTCCAGAAAATTACATCATATTTAATAATTTCTAATTAACAAACCAATTAATCAATCAATCAGTCAAATAATCGGGCAAATCCATTAATTAATTGATTGATTAATTTCTAATTGATCAACTGATCTATCAATTTATGAGTTACTCAATCAGGGAAATCCATTGATTAACCAATCAATTAATTAATGTTATTTAAATGCATAAATAAATAACATTTCAGAAATTACATCACATTCAACAATTTCTAATTAATCAATTAATATATCAATCAATTGCTTAATTAATTAATCAGCCAATCATTTAATTAATCAATAAATCGATAGATATTTTCTCCATTCATTGTATTGTTTAATGCTATTTCCTTTCTCATTCTTTTTTCTTTTTTTTTTCTAATTTGTGTAAATTTACAAAAATTTTTATTTATTTATTTTATTTTTTCAAAAAATTCTATTTTTATTCTTTCATTTTTCTATTCCACAAAAGAATTATCCATTAGCAGTACTGATGAATAGTGCAAATAAACGAACAAACATTGGGATTATTAAGGACGAATGTTAGTCATATTATTTGATATGCATGGTTGTACCATGCATTATTTGCATGTTTGCATGCATGCATGCATGCATGCAAGCATACAATAAATTATGCAAACAATCTATAAAATTCAATTCTTATTTTATGTTACATGATATAAATAGTAAATATTTGAAATTACTTTTTCAAAAATTCAATAGAAATATTTTAGAAA